GAAAAAAAAGGAATTCCAAAATGGGTTGCCCTGGCAAGTGGAAACATGGACCAAAACCTGCGGTTTGCCCCTCCTGTTTAATTTTGGGCCACACCCAAACAACAATGGCTATTGCCCTAAACTCATGGGGTAATGTCCCTTTCGAATGGGTATCGGGATGGCATCGCCGGGGAAAAAACATGCGAACCCGGATTGTCGTTTCGAGCTGCCTGCGGCAGCAAGTGGCAAAGCCAGGAGCAGGTGCTCTGCCGCAGCCGGCCGAGCCTCACAATCTGCTTGGGTTAAAATTTAACCACCAGGATATGGACCGCAGGTTTTAGTCCTTGGTTCCATTTACCAGGGTTCCATTTTGGGTGACTATTTTTGACCCACAGCCATGTGCAATTTCTCATCGCTCAGTTCCAGCTGGAGCAAGCTATAAGGAATGTGCGAGCGTGGAAATACCATCCGCACTTGCCGTGCAAAGGGATTTGTAAGCCTGCTTGCTAAACTGCCATGTCCCTAGCCAGAACTCTTCGCTCCGAAAGTCTCTTTCAATCAAAACAAATGTCAAAGTTGGATACCCCATCAGCACACGAACACAGCACGGCATGGCATCACCTCACTCCAAGGTCGTGGCAGCCCGATGAGGCGCTCGGTTGGCAGCTGCCACTGTGACTCCGAGCGCCGCTCTTGGCGCAGTCCCGGCAGCAGGTGTCGAATCCTCCCTTCGCCTCAAACACGAGGAACCAACTGGTGTCAATTCAAAGGCCCTCAACAAGAACCCACCACGAGCTTCGCGAAGCGCCACAGATCCGGACTTTGAAGTCACGCCCTACTGTTTTTGACTGTTTTCAGAAAAGGAAACAAGTCTGTCTTCTCTTGGCTGAACTTGACCTGAGCATGGCGCGCGCGGCCTGCCGCAGCCCATCTTGCAGGTACCTGCAGGGTTGTGCTGCGCGAACCGCGGGACCTACCACAAAAGAAGCGATAGCGCGCAAGCGCGGGGGAAAAAGCTGTGAAAGTGCCATTCTTGGTTGGTTGGTTGGTTGGTTGGTTGCTTGCTTGCTTGCTTGCTTGCTTGCTTGCTTGCTTGCTTATCTTGCTTGCTTGCTTATCTTGCTTGCTTGCTTATCTTGCTTGCTTGGTTGCAAAAAGTCTTATTCAGCCTTATTTCCAGCTGAGAGCGCATTCAAGCATTTCGCTCGCCTTCATTGGTCGGATCCATCACAACCCCGGCAACGGCCATCAGGCTCAATCAAGACAAGCAAAAACACAGATCAGCAAGCGAGCGAGCGAGCGAGCAAGCAAGGGTGGTTTGCTGTTTTGCGTCTGTAAGGCTTGGAGGCTGAGATTGGTTGACCTTGCTTCTTTACCCATGCATTGGTCTCTCATCATTGGAAGGGTGAAGTCTAGGCATGGCTCCGCATGTTTAATGACATCAGAAGCAAACAACATGCTCTCGCAGCTTCAGCTGTCCCCCCCATGGTATGACCTTCTCTGCGAGCAGAAAAGGCTCGAGCAGAAAAGGCTTCCGAACATCGGCGCGGTCGCCGGCCGGCGCGCACAACGCATGCATCTCTGAAAGTCCTGTCGCTGTGTGTCTGGGGTCGAGGCTTCTTGGCCCTCTCTTTTTTGTACAAAAGTCGGTGGAACTCGTCGCATGGATGGTCCCACACCTGAAGCCAGCCGACTTGGAAGCGCGCAATGCATCGTCTACAAGCTTCGGGCGCTCTCACCGGTTTCGAAGTTGAAATAGAAAACTTCACTTTCCTCCAAAGCTCAGGTCTCGAAATGCCTTGAAACAAAACCTGGCGCGGATCATTTTCGGTGCCACTCCGAGACTTCGCTCGTCCTCTCCGGTGGTGCAGGGCTTCCACGGAGGAGGCAAAGGCACCTCGCGTGCAACGACCCCTCTGCATCGCCCGGATCGATCCACGGCGCCTTCAGGCCAGCCCTAGCGATCCACATGAGATCCTTGTCCTTTTCCACGTCCATACCAAGCCTGCGACACGTTTGGAGGACTGCAAGGCACAACCGAGCGAAACCCGAAGCCCGGGCCATTCGGAATAATCCAAGATCTCTTGCTCGGTTGGCTCATACTCCTGGCACCCGACTGCAAGCTTAGCAAAAACGTTGGATGCGAGCAGTTTGCGATACAGCTGTTTGCGATGCAGCTTGTAGTCATAATATCCCCACCTCAATTGGCAGCCCCCCTTGGCAGAGTGGAAGTTGTGGCTCAGCTATCTTACAGCCCTCAAGCCTCGAGGCACAGCTGTGGAATTGGCGACAGCGACGCACGCACCTTCACACCACGTGAAAGGATGACACGGCGCTCTGCAGTGAGCGCTTGTTTCGTCTAGATTGGAACTCTAAAGTGCGATGGTCGCCATGGTCGCCATGAGGCTAGTCTCCCCACCAGTTCTGCGTGCCAGCAACTTGACCTGCAAATCTTTGTACAGTCAATCGCTCACGCTCGGCGAGGCTATGGTATTGGTGATGAGGCGAATCAGGCGTGGGCTCCCGCAATCCGGCATGACGGTGCAAGTCTTGTTCGTATCTTGGTACTAGGTGCTGTTGACTCAGACTCGCTGCATAGGATCAACGCAGTGCGTAAAGTCGGCGTCGTTCCCGCAAATCCTACTGGACAAAACCCGTGCCATCTTGGCTTAAACTGGAAATCAAAAGGAGAACAACCATTTTGAGGATCCCCTGTTTGACACGCGCAAGACACAATGGAATCACTGAACACACCGCAAGCAAGCCAGAGTCGAAGGTGTTGGCTGGGAGCTCTTGAAAAGTGTCGGCTACGAGAAGCAAGACTCAGGGGCAGGAGGCGCAAAGCAGGCAAAAGGACCAGGGGAGAAGGCTACGAGCTCGCAAGGCGCATACATTTACTGTGCCGACATACTTTGATTCATGCCCTTTAACCCCAGTCGTTTCCCCTACCTGTGATTAAGAAGCTGGCTTCTACTCCCAACGTTTGCGCGCCCCATTCCAAGAACATTCTGCGGGCCAACGGGCATACTGGCCTCATTATTTTACCTGGGTTAAAGGGGAAACCACCGATTTCATTTTCTGACTTTGATAACCCCCAGAAACCCACAAAAAATAATTCGACCCCAGGCATGATCGTTCTTTCGTTTGCGCGCCCCATTCCAAGAACTGAAGTCGGGCCAACGGGCACAGCTTGATATGCTTCACACAAAGGGCCGGCCTTCGATTCGACAGCGAGCGAACCGAGCCCCGTCCGAGTCAACGTGCTCTTCAAGCACCACCGACCTCGGCACGGGCGTCCATGGGCTCCAAAAACTCAGAGGAACTTCCCACGAATTGGGCCTCTCTCAAAATAGGGGACCTCCCAAAAAGTTGGGTTGTTTGTTGCTCTCCGAAAAAAACCAAGAAGGAAAAGGGTACCCAAAACAGACCCCCAAACAGCTGGGGTTCTTTGGTTGCCCTTGAATCAAAAGCCAGACCCAATTTTTTTGCACTTGGAGCGTCTCACGGAGCACCTAGTACCACATGGCAATGTGTCGCCTCAGCTGTGCACCGAGATTCCGTTGGCATTGCGCCTGACAGTCTCAGAGCACGCGAGACAATGCAAAGGGAGAAGTGCAACTCCTTTTTTTGGCTGTGGGTCAAAACCAATGGTACCATTTTGGGGTAGGTGCACCACCCATTTTAGTCTATTTTAGTGGGGATTGGGATGTTCACTGGGGGTACAGGATTTTGACCCATGGCCATTTGATTGGCCAAACGCTGAATGTGTGACGCAGTAGCCAACCTTTTCGAGCGGCCTGAAGCACCACGGCCGCGCCGATTTTTGTGTTTGTCGGTTAAGGCTTTAACTCCAGTGGTGTTTTGGAGAACAGCGTTGAGCTTCTTTGCAGTTCTAACTCATAAGCCAGGTGATGCGGTCCGTCGGCAATCTGGCGTGGTCTAGTAGTCACCCTACAAAGACAGTGCTGTGAGCAAACAAGCATGATTGCACATACTGTACTGGCTCACGTAACAGCTCAATCATGTCTTACCTACTATATTATCCTGTGAAACTTGAGCAGAGCGCCGCCGTCAAAACGGATTCTTCCAGGCGCACATGTTCTCACAAGCCCGTGCTGCATGCAGGCAGTCAAACCCATTCGCGGCGCGAATGCTTTTTGTATTCCGGCGATGATCAGACTCCTTCCAACAATGTCCGGACCTCAAAGTGCGAGGCATGATCTGCAAAACCCAAACCATACAAAGTACAAAGATGGTCTTGCCTGCGTGCAAGAATCAATGGGTTTGTCTCAAAATGAGGGGACTCCCAAAATGGGTGATTTCCGAGTGGGTTCCCTTCAAAACCATCCCTTACAGGGGGGCCCTATTTTGACGGGGGAAAGAAAAGAAAAACAAGTGAGCCGCAGGCCTGGTCTGGAGTATGAGTAGTGATTCCCAGCTCAGTGATACCGTTGTACAACTCCTCATAGGAAGAAGCGATGAGTCTGGACACTCCTCTGCGGGCCTGATCTCGCAGCGTCGTGTCTTCAATCCGTTCAAGTAGAGGCAATGACAGCGCTCCGCCCAGAGTAAACAAGGAGTTGTAGAAGGATCTCAAAGTTGCCGCCAGGGCAACCGGATGCAGCTCCGGTACTCCACTGAGTGGTGTTTCTGGAGCCTTCTCCCGCAAGGCCTTCAGCCGCTCAGCCAGGCCCACTTTGGACAGAACAGCTTTGGCCTGTCCCTCGATCAAGCGATTCAGCTGATCCCGCTGGTACTCTAAGTACATCTCCTGACGGTCTTTGGTGAACTCGTGCTTCTGCAGCGGCGCTTGCATGGCAGAGACACAATTCACCAGGAAGACCTGGCTGTGGCTCAAAAAACCGGTACCAAAATGGCAGGCTTGGCAAATGGAACCAAAGACCCAAAGCTGCGGTTTGCCTTAGCTCCTTAATTTTGAGCCAAACCCACCTGTAAAGAATTAAGAAGGCGGCCGCAACTAAAAAAATGGTTGGGAGTTGGGACTGTCCCTTACTCACCTTCACCTACCCGAATCGGTTTTGATGCTCACCTGGCCATCCGCCGCGTCCATCATGGAAGCGACCTGCTGGCAGTGGTTCAGCAAGGGGTCGAAGGCTGCAGACAGCACCGGCAGAAAGTCCGCAGCGCGCTCCCCAGCGGGGACCAGAGCCCCGTCGTAGATGGCCAGCACCTCTTGCAACGTGTTGGCGGCCTGGGGCTCAAAAAGCTCAACTTGATGGCTGGATTCTTCAGCAAAACCACCTCTTCCTCCCCCCCAAAAAACTCAAGGTTGGTTGGTTACAACGAAAAAAACATGCCGTCTTGATTTTCTGGTTGCCCAATGTCTTGTTCTACTCTGGTATTGAAAACTTGAGCTGTTTCTTTTTCTCGGAAATCTTAGACCGAGGCCTCCAGTACAAAGGGTGGGGCTGACAAGGTGGCGACGTACACGGCGGACACTCCTTGCCGCAACTTCTGTGCTTGAGCTTCCTTGGTGGCCGATGCCCCGACAACCAAAACAACTCAACTGGTTGGTGCGTGGGGAAAAACACTCGAAAGCTCGTGGTGCGTGGCTGGCTACTTTGTTCGTTGGTTCATTAGTGGTTCGTGCTCTTCATGTGGCTTAAAAAACTCAACAGTGTGAGAAACAAGTTCATTGAAAACCACCTCGAAAGTGGCTGGTGCACACAACTCCCTTCAATGATGTCCACCAGCTCCAACAAATCAATGCACATCCCCATTTCCCCCAAAAAAGCGTTCCAGTTTTTTCGCCTTCTCCGAGCTTCCCAGAGGTCGAGGAAGTTCTGGTAGGTGCGGGCCTGCAGATCTACGCACGTGGACACCAGCAGCGACTCTCGATGCATCTGCTGCAGAGTCTTGGCGAAGAAGGAAAAGACCTGCTGCTCAATTAGAGGCACCGGCAGCCCCGTGTTTGGGCGTGGATTTGTTTGAACAAAGGCAAAGGGACAACCCGCCCATAGGGGATCCCTTCTTTTTGTATTGCATAAGTCATAAGGCATAGGCTCGTTGACTTGGTGTGATAAGTAGGGAATGTGGGAATGACCCCGATCTAAACCATCCAACTCGTGGTTTCTATTCAGGGGACCATTTCCTGGGTTCCTTCCCTCATTTCCGACCGAGCAATTTGAGGCACCGGCGGCCCCGTTTACCACCCGCCCATGCAGGGTCCCAAGTTTTTGTAAAGGCATAAGGCACCCGCGTTTCACGCAAGTATCGTTTAGAACTACCTATCACCTGTTTGTCTGCGCTCGACGCCTTTTCTCGGAAACCTGCCACGTATTCTCAAGCAAAATGGTGTCAATCTGGGTGGCGTTCCGTTTGATTTCTGTTTCAATCAACCAAAGCGTAGTGTTTCCCTTTAGCACTTTGAAAAGGGTACCCTTCAGCAAATGCCCATGGCCCATTTGGTAGTCCCGACTTGCGGTGCCTGGGAGACCTTGTACACCGTCACGATGGAGGTATTTGCTTGCAGGGATTGCTTGGCCCTGGTCACCAGCGTTGCAGCCACACCCTCCAGGGCGATGTCCAACATTTCCTCGAAGCCAACCACCGTCATCCTTGCACGCAAATCGCCATTGCACGCGAGTTGTGATCTGGCTGTGGGTCCAAACCCTGTACCCCTGGTGAACATCAAAGTAGGTGGCAAATGGATCTTCATCCACCCCACAATGGAGCCATAGGTTATGCCCCATGGCCTTTTTGTTGCAAAACACGAGCAGACTCTTCATCGGCGAGCGTCGAGCCCTCTTCAGATGGAAGCCTGTCACGCGTGACTGCCTCATCCGCCTTGTGAGCGGCAAATCACAAAGCGCTATCTATTCATGAATTTTAATGTTGACCCCGGATTAATAAACCGGTTTATTAATAGGGGGTGCTCACCTCCATAGTGATGACTCTCCACTAAAACATGGGCACCCCCTATTAATCAACCAGGGGTTTATGAATCCGGGGTGCCCACTATCTGAGACCACCACCGAATCCTTGCCCATAAGACTGCCGAGGGCTTCTTGCTCCGTCGTGACCTAGAACGGCTTGGCATCTGCTACATCCCTTGAACCCACAGAAGGCCCTGGCATTCTCGTGGATCCAGGCAAACATGTCGCTCACAAAGCGAACAGGCTCACCGGCCTGGCTGGTACCCACTGGCAAACGACCCGGTGTTGCTGGCTTTTACATGCAGCCAAAAAACGGGGTTCCCCAAAAACGGAGTTTCCTCTAAGAACGGGACGTTTTCAGGTTTCACACAGAGTTTCCTCGAAGAATGGGAAGTTTTCAGGTTTCACAAATTCTGCAGGAGAATATCTCATCTTCCACGTCTGGCAGGCTCGCCTGCAGCTCGATGGGACGCGTGCCGTAGCCATCACCCTGGCTCAATGCCTGACATGCACAAATGAAAACTGAAAATGTCAACATCTTGATTTGGACCCACCCTGGATTTGGATTTCCTTTTGACTTTCCTAACCAAAACCTCTCTGGATGTTGGTTTTCCTGGACTGTCTTTCCTATCCAACACCTCTCAAGGACGAGGCCCGGTTTCAAAAAAAGAGAGGCCTCGAGGAAGCGCTGCTGCAGGGCTTGCTTCCTGCCATGAGTCCAACTCCATTAGCAAAGCATCAAACAGATCTGACTCCGCTAGGAATCTTAGCAAAGCATCAAACAAATCTGACGCTTCGGCAAGCAGTTCAACCAGTTGATGCTTTTTGGCACCAACGAATCTGGCTGGAAGCCATGCGCCTGACCCGCGCGATATCCCGGAGGCAATGGTTGAAGTACACCGGCCTTTCCCTCAAGAGCCTGGGAGCTTCCGCTTAAGTTCATCCACATAAGCACAGATATGGATGGTTGGTCGATCTTGATGCGAAGGGTACCCTTTTTGGGTTTGTTCAACAGGGAACCCTCCAAGTTAAAGAAACGTCAATGTGAGCTTGATCTGCTAGGGTGATGCATGCGACAATTGGGGCCACTGGCTTGATGGCCAATTAGCAAATGTATCAAAGGACCCCCTTCAACTCGGGATTACCTTTCAGTCTCCTCTTAAAATCCATAGCAACAAAGGGTCCACAGTTTGACGCATCTGCTTCTCACTGGGCTTCAGACCGCAACACCCGTTTCAGGACATTGCCTGCTGGTGTATCCAGTTCTGCTGACCTTGCACTGAAGCTCACCGTGCTGGCTTCCCAAAGACTAACCCCCATATATTCAGAAGTGGGGATAAACCCCTGAATCCCACAACCCTGTGCCGCACTCCGCATCACTCTCATTGACCGCGCCGACCACAGAGCCCGAGCATCTTATGTGTCACTGAGTCGCCGGCGTGCTCTTAGCAACGGCCACGTCGCGTGGTCCACGACACTGCTGCTGCACCTGGGTTCAGAAGATTCTTCAAAGAGCAGAGATGGCTTCTGAGACTCCTGCCCACACAAACATGCGCTCGTACGAGGCCTCGTCCAAAGGCATTGAGCACTTTCCCCATGAGACACCATGCCCTGCCTCCAATATTTCAGATGTCTCGTGCAGAATATCGACCTCGCCATATTGCCCCATTCCAGATATCGTTCCTTTTAGGCACACCTTACGAGTACCAGGCCACGCGAAACCAAACACACAAACACACAGCGCGAATCTGCTCACAAAAACCTCGCAAGCTCAGCGCTTGGGCGCTTGGGCTCGAACGCCTGACGTTTGCTGACCACTGGTGTTGAGCCTTGAGCGCACTAGCTCGTAAAGTGCATCTGGTTCAAACTTGCATTCATTTGCTGATTGAATTTTGCTCGTATTGCTCAGCGAGATCAACATTTCAGGCCAGCGCATGTGGCGAGCATTTGCACGAACCTGGCAACTCGATGATGCCCAACCCAGCAAGTCAGCCAAAGGCTGATTGTATAAACCCTTTGAACCCTTGGTATGAACCTTTGGTATGAACCCTTGGTATGAACCTTTGGTATGAACGCTTGGTATGAACCTTTGGTATTAACCTTTGGTATGAACCCTTGGAACAGACCAGGAAAAGCAAAATGGATTGATCGACTCTCACCGGGGAAATCAGCAGGACCCAAAGCAATGATGTGCCATGGGTTGAGTTCCGTTTGAGTTGCCGCCTGCTCAAGACGCTCGAAGGCCGTGAAGAAGTCGTCATCCAAGGGTCTGTCCCCTGAGCGCACCGCCTGTGTGTCCGCCTGCGTCGATTGCTTGGCCCTTGGCTCAAGAGACTTGGCTGTGGATGTCCCCTGCCTCTGACAAGCGAAAACGGCCCAGGAACCTGTCCAGGACCTGCAGTTTCAAGTCCAAAGTCCGCATGGCCGCACATGGCCGCAGCTTGGCTGAGCAACAGTGCCTGCTGCTTCAGGTCGATGGAGACAGACTCCTCCATGATGGTTATGTAAGCTCTGAAACGTATCATGTTAACCAGTGCGCAGCCTCTTGCGGTCATGACACACCGCCAAGAAGTCGTGGGCATTTGAAGATCACACACTGGCTAACAGGAGTCTACACCATTCGTGTTAGGGTTGGTTTCAACTAGCAATCCAGTAAAGCCACACAAGTCGCCAACAGCCACCAAAGGGACGCCAAAACCCAAGCAAACACATCCCGATCAACACACCATAATACTGCAACAGTGCCCTCCATACGCCCAATAAACTGTCCAGCAGCTTTCAAGGTCTGTCAAACAGGACCGGGGACGGTGTCGAGGAAACTGGAGAAGAAACTTGATGGTTGGCGAAAGAATACTTGAACTTGCCCATGTTTGAGCAGCAGAATCTCGTCGGCTTTCCTCAATGACATCTTGAGAGGCATGCACCCCAAGGACAGAAAGAAAGAGAAAGACGGAGAGAGAGAGAGAGAGAGAGAGAGAGAGAGAGAGAGAGAGAGCGAATGAAAGAAAGGAACGAAAGGAGGAAGTAAAGTAAAGAAAGAAGAAAAGGACAGATAATACAATTAAGGAAAAGCACAGAAACAAAATAACGACAAAAAACAGTTTGGAACACCATGGCACCCCATGGCCCCCGCCATAGATTTCGAGCACGTCCCATTCCCATTCCACCAACCTCTGCGCGAGCCCAAGAGCCCATCGTCCTTCCGTAGAGCCGCGGCCTTCTCCAGGCTCGCCTAGCGACGGGGGCCCGGGCCGCGCCCCGCGCACGTGTTGAGCCCCCGCGCCAAACGGACACGCCCCAAACAAAATCGACCCAGGTTTTGTTTTAAAAATAGTCCGCTCAAAGGGGGCACCCCCTAAAAAGTCAATCAGGGGGGTTCGTAATCCGGGGTCGACATGATATTCAGGAAGATATAGCCCTGGTATAAGCATGAAAGCCACATACCAAGGTATGCTCTAAGTGAAATTAGCAATGCTTGTGGGAAAATACCCAATGGCTTTACACACGTCCATTTTGAACCGCTTGTTGGGTGGCTTGGTCTCGCATGCATGTCGCTCACCTGCGTCTCCGAACGGCTTGCTTTCAGCTGGTCACCAGCCCGTTGTACAGCACCATCCTGGGACAAGCGTTGATACTTCTCTCCCGTGGGTTCACTCCACGGGAAGAATGATCTCGCATTGATGGAACCGGGCAACAAACTGTTCATGTAATTCTCCGGACGTCCCTCAGAAATTCCATTGGCACAAAGATTGCTGACGCCCAAATAAACCAGTGTGATGGATAGATAAAAATGCACCAACATGAGTCGCTGCCTAACAAGCTCTGTGCATAGTCTTGTTTCAAGTGTCAAAGGCCCGCGGTTGCCCCCTGGGCTTCATCCGAATCGGTTTGGCTTCTCCAGTATTCAGATGCTTCGGGGAAGCGCGGCTCGCTTGTTTTCTGCGGTACTAAGGGATACTAGGAAACAATCGCTGGTATTCCTGCTTTTGGGCAACACACCGTTGATTCATTTTCTGTGATCGCAAGAAGTAGCTTTCGCCGACAAGGTGGTCATTTGGTGTCGCCTTGCAGATTGTTGTCGAGCCCACCCTGGACACTGGAGGAATCTCATGTTGCTAATTGGTATCTGACTCCTTTCGAAATGCCTTTGATTGCATGAGAATCAAAGCCCTATGGACCAATCTCTGCGGTTTGATGCTACCCTCTGCAGGGTGGTGAGGGGACCCAAGGGAAAACCCAAATACATTTTGCGGGCCCCCCGATTTTGTCACATACCCGTACCATGATATCCTCTTTTTTTTTCCGCCTATGGCCTATTCCGAAGCCGGGCAGTTTAGTGGGTTCATGCCGAAACCGCATGGTTGCATGTGAGTCTACAGAGGATACCATTCGCCCCAAAGCACCTTCAAAGGAAATTCGCCAAAACCATCCCAATTCATGCTTTAGCTGCCCAAAAGCGAACCCCCACACCTAGCCTCCAGCCTCTAGCCCTGGTGCCCCCAGCTCTACAGCTGCCTCTGAATGGTTCCAAGGCCCTAGCGAGCTCCTCCACCAGATGATCGAGATTTTCAAGTTGCCTGAGCATCAGATCTCGCCATCTCGCAACGTTTATGGGGCTTCCCGTTCAAAGTCCCCTTTCAACACCACGCGAGGAAGCTTGCTTTAAAAGGCCGCGAGAGGATGTTCCAAACCTGCAGGGGAAGTATAGTGACCGGTCCCTGCATTCAGTAATAAAGCACAAGCCTTCAGGGGATGTTCCAAACGTTCAGTACAGCACCCCCCGGCCCGGCCTCTCCAGCGCCCCGAAGGAGTTCACGAAATCCTCGCGCAAATTCGGTCGGACCGTGCATCCTTGCACCTTAAAATCATTTGAGCGTGAACTTCAATTGGGGGCCCTTTGGTGGACATTTACTTGGGGATAAGTGTCCACCAACCATGTTTAGCGTCCCCATCTAAAAAAGAAAAGCAGAGTCGGTTTAAGCCAGGACCAAGGCCACATCCTTGTGCAAGAGGAGGCTTTCACCCTCAATGGAGGAGCGCAAATTCCTGGCAACGGGTCGGCCAATCACCGGCGATCCGACGCGTGTTTTTTTCTAGCCCAGTAGATTTCCGGACATCCGGCCTCCTGGTATGCACGGTGTTCTCAGTGAAGAACCCTGAGAGACACTTCAGAGCATCTCTGGACCTCAGTCCAAAGCCAAAATTTCCAGCTCAGAGTTGCCATGCTCACAAAATTCTGTGGGTGATCGGTCCCAAATCCTCGGTTTCCATGTGGCTTCCCTTTCACCTGCCTGGAATTCGGACCCCCAGCACAAAAAAACGAATATATGTATATTGTTTGTTTTTTCCGTTTTGGCCTGGCTAGTGGAAAAATATAAAAGAGGGGCAACTAATTCTGGGGAAGTTCCATGCCAAAACCTCCACGGGTCCACTGGCAGCGAGAACCCCTCTGCGCTCCAGGCCCTTGGGAATCGATCCGCAGGGTCAGCGCTTTCTGAAGCTTCTTCGTCAGCTGGCTGCCTTCCCCGTCCGCCAGAAAACCGGAGGAAGCTCCCAACATCAGCCTCCTTTTGTTGGGCCCCAGGAGTTTTGCAGAAAAAAAGAAAGATCGGTACCAGCGACTTTTAAAAACAGCACGCCTTTAGGTTTAGCTTGGCGCCCTTCAAATGCCATGGAGGTTGCGTGGCTTCGTTTTTCGCCTTTCTCCGGACTCCGGTTCTTCAAGTGCAGGGCACGCGACTTGCGAGCTGTGCCAGATGTAAGTATCTATGTCAAACTAGAAAAGCATGGACCAAAGATGGGTGATGTTGGGTCTTCCCGATGTTTCCCCAACCAAACTCAAAACAATGGCTATACCCACAGGTCCGTCCCCCCGTGCCGAGTGCCAGGCTGGCCGCTGAGGCGGCAGGGCCCGCCTTCCCCTGCCACGACCCAAAACTTGCACCGCCGGCCACGTGACCCGCGCGAAGGCGCGCGCAGGCGCGCCTGTGCATCTGCGGCGCTCATGTCGAATTCATCTCGGGTTGCTTGGTGAACTGTTGATTTGGCCTGGAGGAATGACAGGCTTAGGCTGGCAAGTCTAACGATTGCGCAGGTTGAGTGAATCCAGTGTGTCTGGAATTGATTGCTCTTGCTGCTCACCGCTGGCAGCAACCCATACTCTGTCATGCTCTGCATGCAACTTTACATTTACCAATTGCATCGAGTTTGCTCAAGCACAAAATCCACATGGTCGGATGCACCGCCAACCTTTCAATGCCCAGAGCCATTTGGCTTTGATCAGTGAAACGCTCCGCAGCCTTGCCCGCCCGATCGCTGGCATTGAATGCTTACGCTGCTTAGAGCATGGGTATGGGTCAAATTTAAACCACCAGGGGACCGCAGGCTTGGTCCATGTTTCCACTTAGCAGTGTTCCAAAAATGGGTACATATTGTTGACCCACAGCCACATAGTGACAGGTGACAAAAGACGACCCCCAGCAGCGTGTACATTGGATCTTCCACCCGGCTCGACGCAAGGCTTGCGGACATGCATGTGACACCCCTAGCATTGCTAGCTCGACCTGAGTCTCGGCCCTTTGGCCCAGGATACATGGCTCAAGTCCCTCAGCATGCAAAAGGCTTGTGCGCTTGTGTCACATGCCCCCATTCCAGGCAGGATGGGCTGGGGATGTGTTTCAACCAGGCCCATGCTTGTGGCATGCCGGTTCGGGTACGAAGAGACAAATAAAGCTGGGACACCACCATTTGATTCAAGCTGGCAAAATAAGGCGAGGGCTTTCTACTCCTCCGTCTCTATTGCTGGAAGGTTCTCCTCTATGAACCTGCGAAACATGTGGCAATGGGCGGTCAAGGTTTGATGCGAACTAAGTCCCAGACTTGAGGATTTCAGGTGCCTTTAACCCCTCGATGGTCATCACCTGCGCAGCAAATATCATCAACTAGGCCACACTGCAGGGGCTCCGACCTCCTCACCCCCCTTGTAAAACCTCAGTCCGACGTCGAGCCCGCGGTCGCCGAGCGAACTTCGGGCGCTGAGGAGTTGGCAAGAAGCGCGGCTTGCTCGTCTCGGGAAAGCGCTCTGCGTACTGGGCAGGCGCACGGTGCGCGCGCGGTTGGCGCAGAGAACCAACGGCAGGTCGGTGGCTCGTCTTCTTTCTCGTGCCCCTGTTTGGTGGCTTCGAAGGGAAAAAAGCAACAGGACAACCACCTTTTTTGCGGGGCCCGTAAGACAAGACACCCCCAGGTGGGAACTTCTTGGGCCATGCATTGATGTCTCACCGGCCTCCGTCAAGGCCGTTCTTTCAGCTTGCGTGATGGTGCATCGATCCTTCAAAGTTGCAAGTGCAGAGCACCTCAACACACCTGAGGTGTGAATTATCCATTTGGCTGTGGGTCAAAAATAAGTACCAAAATGGGTTGCCCTGGTAAGTGGCAACATGGTCTTAGACCAAAACCTGCGGTCCATATCCTGGTGGTTTAATTTTGACCCACACCCATTTCACAAAAGTCAATCACCTTTGTCCGGGTCACTCAAAGCAAAACCAAGCGAGTGAGTTTCTCGGTATATGGTTGATCAAAATCCTGACCCCAAAACTACCATGGGTAACTCTTTCCATTTAGTGGTGAAAGTCATTTTTCTTGGTGGTTCCCCAATGGTCAGCCCACGTAAAGGACCTTTTGATCAACCCCCATATGTTTGACCACGGCACACATCACAGCCAGGGATCCTGCCTTTCAGGACACCAATCAACCCAGAGAAAACAGCTGGCTTTTGAAAAGCAAAATGGCTGCAAAGAATGGTTGCAATGACCTTCAAAATGATTGGTTTCCTTTGGGTTTCCTTTAGTAACCCAAAAAGGGTACCCTCAAACACAGACTCACTCTAGTGATGTGGCATGGTATGCTTTTGGAAAGCTATTGGAACATTCCCCACAACTCCCAAACAGCCACTCGCTCGCTCGCCAGCTGGAATTGGTCCGTGGTGGCGGGTCCTCGAAATAGTCGATGTTGAGCTGAGCAAGTCAAACCGGAGGCATCTCATCGTCTTTGTCTTTTGATCATCTTGGTCATCTCTGTCATCTTGCTATTTCATGTTGGTATTCTCTCTCTCTCTCTCTCCTCTGGGTGTGTCTCAAAACAGGGCACCCCTTGAATGGTTTGAATGGGAAGCCGAAAGAAAAACACCTACCCGAAGTCCCCATTTCCGAGAAACACACATCTGCCGCTGTCAACGTGAAGAACCCGCCTGCATGTTCTTGAAGGTGGGCACCTGCAGCCAGGCGAGGCACGGCGTCCAGTGGAAACTCATGAGGCTATGGGTCAAAACCCCGGTGCCCTGAGAAACACCCAAGCCTTCTCGAAAAACAACAGAGTGGTAACCATCCCCAAAAGGCACCTTAGGTTTTGACCCACAACCATGTCCTTCCCAGGCATGGGTGTTTTGGGCGGGTCCCGCATGTCTCTACCCAATTTTGACCCATAGATTGCTGCGTTTTTTTTGAGACTACACCTCGACTTGAGATCCCGACTATAGACAAGCATGGGCCGCACCAGCCAGTGTAAACCTCAATCCACCAGTCCCAGCTGAACAATGCGAGCAACATCTGCAAGCCGGAATTGGCCCAAAGGCCCCTGCATCTACAATGTGCAGCTTCTTGCAACCTTCCTGGCACCAAAAATGCGGCAAACCGCATACGAAACCGAACAACTGGTCGATGGTTGAGTGCCAGTTTGGCGTGTCTTTTATTGAGGATCCCTTCTTTTTGTGGTTTAGAAAGGGAAAACACAATTGCAATAAAACCGAAGCAATGCTTTTGTTGGGGGGGTCCGACGGGTCCGATTCCTACAAAAAGACAACCTCCACTTCCCTAGACACCCAGGATCTTTGGGCTCTATAGGACTCTAGGATGAAGGTTTCAGGTCTTGCCATCACCTGGTTGACGTTGGGTTTGGGGAGCAATCATTTAAATTTTAGCAAGTGGTTGGATTTCCGCCACTAAACCACAATCAGCAAAAATGCAAAATGTTTCCCAACAACCAAGATCACCCCATGCAAAACCAGGTGGTAGAACCACCGTTGAACCTAGTAAAATTGCAATTGAGGGGTTTGCTCAAATGATTGGAAATTGGAACTGACCCCTTCGCCTGCCCCTCATCCCCCTCATGGACACAATTCGGAAATCATCCTAGCCTACCTCCCATGCCTCCACTTACTGTTCAATATCAACTGACCTAGTCCCTGCGCCGCTGTCATTACTATTCTCCCACTGCTGCATCCATCTTCCCTTCTGCCCGTGCGCCTTCAAATACATTTGCACCAAAGCCGGATTACCGACAACCAATGCCCGCCAGGAAACAAAAGCAACAAATGGTCGGGCCGGATTGCTTTTGGATCGGAATTCTTACGCCGTCCTGCGGGATAATTTTGACTTCACGGGCCTTGTAAACCATCCCTTTGAACTCCTCCACGTCAAAGCCATCCTCAAGAATGCCAGCAAGACATCGCAGCTGCAAGATCCGCGCACATAAACCAACAAACAAATGCATACTACCTCGGGCACAAGCAACAGACAAACACAGGCAAACAGACACACAATCAAAACGACAAAGATGGACACGGAGACAGAGACAGACACAGGGACAGAGAGACAGAGACAGAAAAACAGAGTGACACCGAGACAGAGACAAAGAGACAGAGTGGAAGAGAAACAGGCAGACAGGCAGGCAAACAGATATTCAAACAAGGACACCAATTCAAACCACCTGCATGCAACGTAACCATGCCCGCCTCCCCGATCCTCTTGATGATTTCCTACGACAGGACGGGGCGGAAAAACACGGCTTGTAATTACCCCGGCTTTCCCCCGTCTGGGTTCCTCCTATTTAGTTGGGCTTTCTTTTTTTTGGAGGGCGCCATGCCCATCTTTTTGGCTTAAACTTGGTTTGGGGCAACCAAAAATGAAGCCTCTTGCCACCCCCCGGCTCCAAATCCCTGCCTTTGGAGCCATTGGTGAAACAGTGGAGTGCTCAGCGTGGAGAGCCTCCGGAAACTTTCGCAGAGCAAGTTCGCAACTGTGTCTTGTTTATGGAACGCAAAAGCTATTAGTCACCATGGGTCTGTCCAAACATGCACACCACCCCCCAAAACCCCCCAACGTTCCCCCCCCAACGTTTGCGCCTTTTCCAGCGAACCAACAAAGAGTCGTTGCCCATTTTCCTTCCCAGTCTGAGACTTGCGCCTCGAAGGGTCCGCGTGCAGTGGCCGGCCCAACTTGCTACCATCCACGGAGGTACCACGGAATGCTGGAGCCAAGCATGGAACGCAGACTTTATATGATTGCCCTGAATCATGCAGACCAGCTTCTACATGAGCATAGCAAAAGTCTGCCAAACATTTTGCACCTGCGATTGAGCTGCACTGTCCAAGATGAAGCCATTCGGTTTCTCAGACAAAGCGGTCATAGGATTAATCACCGCATTTGCGGCCAATTTAAGCCACAAGGATCTCCTGATGTCAGAATCATCTGTGGCCCCCAGACCAGCCGTTTCCAAGTGCTGCAGAGTTGACTGGTAGAGCGATTCGGGAATGGGCCCAACTTTACCAAATCTTGTGTCACCCCAGCCCGCATGCACAACGTCAAAGTCTGCCTTAGACCAGCCAACTCCGATCTGCTTCTGCAACGCCAGCACCCCGGTGGAACAACGTCTTTCCAGTGCACATGTCCCAAAGTCACTGATGTCTGGGAGCCGTCAGTGTGCTCGATGGCGCTTCCTCCTGCACAGCTCCTTGGGTCAGCAAGAACTGGCCTACAGCTCACTGATGCGAACTCTGCATCCGCTCTTTCTGCTTCACCATTGCAACCAGCCGCGCGTTCTCCGAAGCCTCTATGCCGTATTGCAGAGCCTTTGCGGCAACCCAGCCATTGATGAAATCGATTTCGGTAGACCGTCCCGCTCGAATGTCCTGCAACATCGAAGACATATTGTCTGCTGTCTGACTGGCGGTTTTCCGCACAAAGCCCAGCATGTCCTGTAAGCTGGGACAGCTGCCGCCTTCGTCTTGCATGGCTTTCGCAACATCTGCCACTTCCTGACAAACCTTTTGCACCTGCGATTGAGCTGCACTGTCCAAGATGAAGCCATTCGGTTTCTCAGACAAAGCGGTCATAGGATTAATCACCGCATTTGCGGCCAATTTAAGCCACAAGGATCTCCTGATGTCAGAATCATCTGTGGCCCCCAGACCAGCCGTTTCCAAGTGCTGCAGAGTTGACTGGTAGAGCGATTCGGGAATGGGCCCAACTTTACCAAATCTTGTGTCACCCCAGCCCGCATGCACAACGTCAAAGTCTGCCTTAGACCAGGCACCATGAGTTGTCAGCCCGAGAACCACATGGATGCCGCCAACTCCTATCTGCTCCTGCAACGCCAGCGCCCCGTTGCACAGAAGGACCACCACGGCGCCGGGCTGCAGCCGCGGTGCCACTTGCCTCATGGCCGCTTCGGCCGCCTGCGCCTTCGTCACCAGCAAGAGCCGCTCGATCGGAGCATTGGAAGCTGAGACCTCCTCTGCCTGCACGCGCTGCACGAAGCTGTCGATGTCTCCAACGCCGGTGACGCGGATCTCCGACTTCGCAGAAGAAGAAGCTTTTGGTGACCCGGGCCGTAGCAAGAGACGCGTCGCGCGGGCTTCGGGACCTGGGCGTGCCCATGGGCTTTGGCTTTCCTGCTTCCCGAAGCCAACAGGGGGGGTTCACCCAAAAGGGCGCTTCACAATTCTTGGAAAGATCCGAATCTTTTCAAAAAACCATCAAAAACCCGGAGGAAACAGCCAGTTTTTGACAAGAACGATGGTGGAAAAGAATGGACAAGGAATACGGTGGCGCTCAGCTCAAAAAATCAAAAGAAGGACTGGGACCCCGAAGATGGCCACACGTATCCGAAAGACAGGGGTCTTTTTTTGGAATCAGCCCCCAGAGCTGGGTGTCACCCACGCCTCCTCCGGGCAAAGCAGCGCCCCTGGCGAGGCGAGCTGCCCAGAGGCAGCCCAGCGAGCCCGCGCCCAGGACGAACATGGCGCCCAAAGATCTGAATGCGCCCCAAGACTACCCCCCCAAAAAAATAAAATACAAATAAACATAGAATGAAATAAACTAAATGAATAAATCAATCAATAAATGGTGCCACGTAATTGCCGAGGCCAAGGCTTTGAACCGGCAGCCATGGCACACATGGCACACATGGCACACATGGCACACATGGCACACATGGCACACATGGCACACATGGCACACATGTCACACATGGCACACATGGCACACATGGCACACATGGCACACATGGCACACATGCGACACATGGAACTGGGAAGTGCATGGAGTTTTGCAGCCCGGTGAGAGCAACTTCTCGTGTGCCTCAAAGCAATCATCGACATCCCGGCGCAATCGGACTCTCCTTCTTGCACGTGTTGGTCGCATTTGCGAGGTCCAAACAAATGGGTGTGGCTCAAAATTTAAGGGCTGGGCTTACGCAGATCTTGGTCTTTCTTTCTATCCAAGGGGCCCAACAATGGGTTCCACTTTTTTGAGCCACAGCCAAATGTAGCCATCCACTGTTTAATGGCCATGCTTTGCTTGGCAATGAATTGTCCATCAAGGCATCACGCTTGTCATGAGTCCTCGGACGGAAAAAGCGCCTATCGAAACGCATCTCGTTCGAAACGCATATGCCGCAAGCTCCATCAAAGCAGCCGCATCCCGTCAGTTCGCAAGGACCTAACGAGTGCAATCTCATCAAAAGAATCAGCAAGCGGATTCATACAAACTGCACCCGAGGTAAAGGTGGTCTGGATCCCTCAAATGAACACGACCAAATGTCCTTGACTTTGGGTAAAACTAAACTGGTTTTAAAGGTTTGTTTTGGCCTTACTATGACCACCATAAGACCAAGTAGTAGGACTACCTACTCAAATGGCCAATGGGAATCAGCTTTGGCGCTCGGATCAACCAATCCCGCGCCGATTCATTGGCTTTCAGCCTTGATCCCTGAAGCAGATGGGCTTCCCCACCGGCCCTGAGGGGGTGTCCGCCGACCTGAAGCACAGTATCAGCACTTTCGACGTTCGACCGCTCCGAAGACATCCAAAAAAGATCCACAGAAACGGCCAGCCACAAACCTATCCGAATCGTCACACATGTCCTCATTCTTTTAAGGCAAGCCATGGCACACATGAGACATGAACATTTAAGCAGCGCTGATGCGGCTTTGCATTCTCATGGCGACTTCCTCCCTAACTTTAGGGCTGGCACCAAGTGAGGAAGCTGAGCGCGTGGAAGTCTCCCTGGCACTGTTTGAGTCCTTTTTCAGCTTGGGCCAAGAGGGAAAAAGAAACATCGCCATGTGGGGAGTCCCACAATCCCCTGCGCCTTTCAGCTTTGACGTGTCCAAAAATTGGTGCCAAACGTGAACAAACAATGCCGCGGACAGGACTCCCGGAAGGGGGGGACACAGGCCCCTTCCGCACGGGGCGTCCAAGCAAAGCTCAGCTTCTTTTTCGCCGGTGCAGCAGCTTGGCGCCATTGGCGGCAGTGGCACTACCCGCGCGTTCTTTTTGGAGGGGATAGGGGTGAGGGGCAAGAAAGTTTCTCCTAAAATGGTGGGGGGGTCCTTTAAAGCAAAACAACACACGTGTACCAACTCGAAAGAGAAGCCACGCACATAACAAAGATCGGACGAGCATCTTGACGTAAGCCTGAGCAATGGCTCAAGTTGAATTCCGTAAGCCTCATAGGGTGGTTTCAAGTTGCTGAATCCCGCGACCACCTCGGAGCGTTGCGAAGATGGTGCAAGCTGCATTTAACTCAAACATAGATTACAGCTTGTCTCAAAACCTGGGAATCAGAACCTCCAAAAAATGAGTGGCTCCCCTAAAACTTCCCCCCCCCCCCCCCAAGAATTTTGGCAGCCTCCAAAAAAAACCTTCGCCGAGCCACTTCCACTGGGTCTGGAGTCCACTGGGCGCGGGGCTTTCCGAGATCCGGTTGTGGCAGGGCACGCAGAGCTCGAAGCGCAGCCCCGTTTGCTCCGGGCAATGCGCGCAAGCGTAGAACTGGAGCCGAGGCGAGGCGAGGCGAGCACGTGCGCCCGTGAGTCGTCCAGCGCAAAAAGGGGGTGTGACATCTATAGCGGTAGGAGTAGTGGTAGCAGTGGCGGGAGTAGCAGTGGTAGTAGTAGTAGTCGTAGTAGTAATGATAATTAGTTGTAGTAGTGGCAGCAGCTGTAGCAGTAGCAGTAGTAGTCGTAGTAGTAGGAGCAGATGTAGAGAAGTAGCAGCGGCAGTAGAAACAATAATAGCAATAGAAGTAACAGTTTTCCGTAGAAGTGCTAGTAGCAGCTGTGGCACGCCATGTCTCTTCCTTCGCATATTGGTCTTCCGCAGGTTTATCGGGGTGCTCACGTATAAAAATACAATGGCTGCAGTTGTGTCTGTTGTGTCGCTGTGGTCTTCTTTGAGCATGCAAACCGAGTGAACATGCATCGCGTGACCCGCCTCGCTGGCGAGAATGTAGAACTTCCTGAAGGAATTGCACACGCGCAAACTGCGCAAATTGCTCATAGAGTGCTTGAACAACCCAATTACGCCAGGCTGCTTGTGCGGATCGTTTAGCCTGGACGGATCGCATCTGCCAGCTAACCCAAAGGAGCTCTCGATTCGATGGCTGATTCTGCAAGCTCAGCACCGCACTCTTGCCCTTTCCTGTTCTTGGAAGGCAATCCTGCGATTGAGAGCTCAACCACACAAAGCACCGATTGCCGTGGAGGTGTCATTCTCCAAATGCAATAAATAGGCCCGGCCCCGCAAACGGAGACACCGTTACCCCATTTAAATGTGTGTTCCACATCGGAGAAATCCCTGTGACGCCCTTTGGCAATACTTCTCCTCCGGAGCCGCCATCCTTCGCGCACTGGTCACTCGCACCTGCAACTGGAGCAAGCAGGCTAATTTATCCCCTCAACAAGCTTGGCCGTGCCATCGAGGTCTACTTTCAACGTGCCGCGCACGTCCTTGTCAAACATCACTGGCACCAATGTTGCGCGTGATTCGGGGGAAAAAACACCCAGACGCTGGATTCTCGCTTCCACGTTGGGTGTGGCTCAAAATTAAACAAGAGGGGCAAACCGCAGGTTTTGGTACCCATGTTTCCACTTCCCGATCGGGCAAGCCATTTTTGGAATTCCGGTTTTGAATTCGCCGCAGCCAGTTCACCGAGCCAACTCTCCGTCGAGCTCTTCGGGCAAAGCACCTCTGCCCACCACGACGCCGCCGCACATGTCGCAGAGCACGCGATGCAAGTGGGGCGAATCTCAGTCCAAGCAACTTGCGGGTCAGCAGGGAATGAGAAATGGAATGACCTCGAGAAAAACCATCCAACTGGGTGTTTCCTTTAAGTTGGAATCCCCAGGATTTCTCATTCCAATTCTCATTCCCTACCTATCGCACCAAGGCAATGATCATTTCAACTCCTTCGCTTGCCGTCTCGGTCCGTGACCCAGATAGGCGTTCTCCAAACTCTGTCTGCGGATCAAAGTGGAGCGGTGCCTGTGTACGTCCGTCCCCATCATGGACTTGACACGGGTGAGAGGAAAGTGAATTTGCAAACAGGATATGAGCAAACTGTGCTCAACTGTTACTATGTTGCATGCAAGTGTGCAGAACATATGCAACTTTGAAAATTGTCCCTTTCGCCAAGAGCCGCAGGTGCTGAAAAAAAAGTTGGACATGCTTCGTTGCCGTGTGGCCATGGGTCAAAACCCAAATCGTACCCCCAGTGAATATCCGATTCAATCCAACCACTAAGATAGGCTCTAAAATGGGTGGTGAATTCACCTACCCCAAAATGGGATCCCATTGGTTTTGACCCATAGCCGTGTATGAAAATCCGCCAAAGCCGAAGGCAAGCCTTCGATTCTGGCGACTAGCTGCAATCAGCATAGGAGCGCGGCTGGCACTTGAGGTAGTGAGGGTGGAAGCTGTTGCCGCTGTATTTGCCTCGACAGCTGGAGCCGCCAAGGGTCCTCTGGATTTTGGCGGTGGATCCACAATGTGGATGGGCGAAATCCCGCATCACTTTGAAGCCACGGAAAACCCATTTGTTTGTTGGTATTGACAGGGGAATCATCCTTCTAGGACTTCCTAGGTGGTGATTTCGCCCACCCACAGTAGTTTTCAGAGGTATCTGAGCCATATTCAGTGGACATCACGTGCATATGTTCATACTCAACCACACACACATATTTCCATGGACATCACACACTTCGCACTGCGTCCTCTCCCTCCCCCTTCACCTATTTGCAATATAGATTATGACTATAGACAGCCAATTTAGTGAGCATTCATGCCGCGCACTTGTGGCTATTCTCAATGGCGATCCTAGGTAGAATTCAAGCAGGAAACCTTGGATTATGCAATGGCAACCTAGAATGACCTATGGCTTGAGCTTGAAACTGCATTCCATTGAGGGAATCCGCTTTGAGAACCAGGAAGCCAAACCTGCTTCATTCCTGCCTTCTCCTTGGAGAATCTCCAGGACGTGGCAGGCCACACAAAGCTCAAACCTGGCACAAACGCCCAAGCCACGTTTTCACCGGGATTCTCAAAACCATCTTCGCCCCTTTCGGACCGCGGTGCGTCATGTCCCTTGAAAGGCCCAAAAGGCATCCATGATTCTGATATCCACAGAGCAAGTGGATGCCTTCGTCCGCTTCTCTTGCACTGCCTGCAGTAGTAGAAGAATCTCCCTCCTGCGCAATAAGGCAACCGTCAAGCTGATCGCGCCAACCAAAACCTGAAAAACAACTGGAGGATTTCGCGCACAAAATATTCACACCAAAACCTGATAAAACAAAAAAGACTAAGACACTGGAGGATATATTTCCCGGACGAAAACAATCACAGGACGTCTTTTTCCCAGGTCCTGGCTTGTCTGCATCCGCCAAATGCAAGCCGCAGTTGTCGCAGCTCACCTGACCACTGAGTGAGGACTCCTCGAGTCAACTGGCCCATGGGGTTAAAACCCAGATGCCCTCCTTTTTGGGGTCACTCCCCCTTGTGTTTCCATTTAACAAGGGAATCTGGAAGGGCTTTGGTAGGGTTTTCACCCTGTCCCAAAAAGTCCACACCAAATCCGCCTGCTCCACCTTGGCGATCCTGCGCACTCGCACGGCATCACCTGAAAAAGGTCGCTCGGTTCTTCGTTTTGTATGTCCCACGGCCGTTGGGCGGTTCCTGAAAAACCGAGAACCTCCATCCACCGATGGCACCGTGGACAAGAATCCACGAGAAGGGAATGAGCTTTTCAGGGGAAATCCACTGAACACAAGACAGCCGAATGTGATGCTCCAGCCCGATACAGGCCCGTCACCTTGCGGATTTGGACAAGTCATGTGAAACTCCCACTGGACTTCCTGAATTTTCTCTGGACGTTTGGTGTCAAAAGTAAAAAAACAAAACACGCGTGCGTCGGTGCTTTCTGGATAGCCACTCCGAAGCCACGGCATTGCCAATTTTGAGAGAAGCCCAAATTTGGGCTTGTCTCAAAATCGAGGAACCCAACCACCCCCTCCACCCCCAAATATATATATATATATATAATATATATATATATACATAATAATAACAACAACAATAATAAAGCACTGGTCCCTTTCAGACTTTAAGACCAACCAAAAAGGGCTCCGAGTCCCTAAGAGACAGCCCCAAATTGACTCCCGTTTCCCGAGAACCGCGCCTGTCCCTCCCAGCAGCTGTTCCATGGCAGTTGGCTTGTCTCGCTTCTTGCCACGGAAACCCACCTGCATGACACGGGTCGAACTGTCGAACTTCAACTGGGGATGCTAGGTTCAAGTTATATCTGGTTTATAGGGGCTACAGGAAAACCATTCAGGAAAATGAGTGACAAATCAACCAGGTATTGGAGAGCAGGTGGAAACGTCAACTTGTTTCCTGAAAACCAGGGTTCCCAACCCATCTTCGGGTTATCCTATTTTTGACCCACGCCTACTTGGCAGGTTCTGAAGATGACGGGTGCGTTCGCCTTTTTGAGGTTCTTTTCCCTATTCAGGTTGGTGTAAAGGGACACTAAAAGGAAACCCATCATGAGGTTGCGGGCCGCTACTTTGGCACCTACCCAAAGACAGTTTCTCGGGTTGCGAAAGCGACATCCGGAAAAGTACACTCTATTGCGCAGCATGTGAATCATTTTCTGAGGGCACCCTTTCCGGGTTTGAAGAGAAGCCAAAAGCTCTCAGTTGAGGACCGACACCCCCAACTCGACCACCTTGGAGTTGATATTGAAAGAGAACAAGACGCCAACCACTGTAGAGAACAACATTTAAAACAAAATAATAATAATAATAATAATAATAATAATAATAATAATAATAATAATAAAATAATAATGGACCAAACGGATTTGTTGTTTTTTGAGAGAAACCTGTTCTAGGTTGGTTCGCAGGAAAACCAAAAGAAAACGCACCTTTGCAAGGATACCCAAATGTCTGCATGAAATCAGTTTGGATTCTTTAGAGTTGGCGCACGAACCTTTATTGGCTCCCTGAAAACGAGGCAGTCTGGGGTTTGCAACGAACCCGAATGAATGCCCTGCCATTTTATCTTCTGCCTTTTGCGATTGTTACTATACCCTTCCCCAACCAGCGAAAACGGGGCTCCAAATGGTGGGCAACCCTGGGAGTTTTGGCGAAGGCGTCTTGTCCATGGCATGGTTCAGGTCTCCTAGGCTCGGATCCTTCCCCCTTTTCCCCCCGCATTCGCGAAACAGGAGCGCCCTGGACCGCACTCCACTCCCGGTCTGCTTTGCCCGGGTGGCCTCTCATGCGATCCTCGTGAAACCCGCGCCTCGTAGGCCTCCCGCACCTTGCTGCAGAGGATCATGTCGCCCAGGCGGCATTCGTACCTCGCCGCAGGCTCGCTGGACGTGGCGTGGGGACGTCGAGCCCTGGGATAAGTGGAAGACATACTCCAGATTTCTGGGCGGGTGTAACAGGGCAATCACCGGAAAACGGCGGCAAGAAGGCAAGACACACAGAGGTCTGCCGAGCAGCCCAGACTGTGGATGGACGAAATCCTGCCAAAAAAACTGGTTTCTGAGGGTTCCCCCCAAAAAAACGACCCACAAAGAAAAGGCTTTCCTCAAATTTTCCAAGTGGCTTCCCACGGATTTTCGCTCAAAAGATTGTTTGAACAGCCCGACCCCTCCCCCCCTGGCCGACGGGTTCCCGTGGGGCACTCCATCTCATGGCCCAAGGGCCAGGAGGAAGGCCTGCCGGCGCCGTACCTTCGCTGAGGCATCCGGAGGTCGGATCTTTTGGGACCCGTGACAGTCGGTGGATTTCCAAGAGGTCCAAGCGCATTTTGGAAGGCCACGAATGGAAGTTATAACCAGGGGTGGATTCCTTCTCCATTCTTTGCAACCAGTGGGTCTTTTTCAAAAACCGATCGCTGGTTTCCCCGGCAGTTCTGATGGTTTTCTGTAAAGATGCGGATCCCTGGAAAGAATGGGGACGTGTCCCCTAGAGAGATGGACAGAAGTTGGTGGAAATTGCAGGTCCAACGCATTTTGGAGGCGCCAACACGAATTGCAAGTTTGAAACTCATGGGCATATGGTTAAGTGCCGTTTTTGTTCAGACTCGGTGCCTTTTTTTGGGTGGATTTGAAGGGAAACCAAGAACAAACGATGGGTTTGCCTCAAAATTGGTTAGATTAGCCCAGGCTTCCCTTTGGCTTCCTGTTGACACCAAAGGTGCATACCCTCTGGAAAAACAGGGTCCCCAAACATACGACGCACACTGTGGGTGGACAAAGTGGCTCACCAGTCAAGTGGCTTCTCCCAGAACTTGCAGGGTTTCATGCAGTCCAGCTGCCGATCGATTCGCGGCAGACGGCTGAGGATTTGGCTTTGGTGTCTCGACATCGAAAAGATGCTTGTAGAACCTTGGTGGCGCATTGGATTGCAATGCACCATCTGCGCTTCTTTGGGCATGCCAATGAGCAGAGCTCGAACTCATTTTCGGATATACCGGGAGGATCATGAATCTGCACACCTTTTTGGGGGACTGCCTCCCTCTAAACCAACCCCCAAAGGGGTAGCCTCAAATCAAGACACGGCCACCGAGTAAAGCACGCAAAGGCTCTAGCGAGACTGGCGAAGCATGTCTGCAAGCGAAGGAAGTGCTTGCAACAACGCAAGCACGTATGAGCGTGGAGAAGGAAAATACAAGCGTACACCATGTACACCTTTGCTTCACTGCCCACCAACGCCAAACCCTACGCTCGCAGGCATGCAAGCCAAGGGCTCCGTGCGTCAAAGGGGAACGCTTCAGTTGGTCAACAGGTCGCACGTTCACTATCTTTGTGGGAATTATCATCGTTCCCCGAACAGCTCTGGATAGAAGCCCTCGCGACCATGTTCTGACCACATGTTGCGGTCGCCTCTGCTGCCTCGCAACCGCAAGGTCAGCCTGTTGCTATTTTTGGGGCACCGGATCCGTTTCGGCCTTGGGTGCTTCTCAAAATAATAGTCCCTTAAAAATGGCTGGTTTCCACCTGGATTCCCTTTGGCTACCAGAAAGGGACCAGTTTGAGAAGAGAGTCTGACTTGGCAAGAGACCACAAGTGGATAGTCATCGGGAGTGCTTCAGAGTAGCTGTCTGTACATTCCACTCTCTCGGACGGGTCCCGTAACAGCCCCAAGTTGTCAGGTTCTGACACACCTGATCAAGTCTAAGTCGAGATGCAGTGTGGAACTCTGCCAACGCAGTGAGAGGCTTTAAAATGGCCGGACAGAGCCGGATTGCTCAAAAGCAACATTGCCTTTCACTTTTGAAGGGGACCTGGTCTGGATGGCACCAATTCTGCCTGAGTGCCCGCGCACGTCCGGATTTGCTCCCAGGATGCTCAGCCAGCCTGCGAGCTTTCTTCGAATACGGCCGAGTTGCAGACGAGATTCGTGCACTGACAAGCACAATTGGGAGAATACAATACCAGCTGAAGTGCTGTTTGAGAAACCAAATGCCAAGCATTGAATTTGCTGTGCGACTGGTGATTCACAATGGCAGCTAGCTCAAAAAAAAGTCACCGCAGCGCGCAAGGCGCGCTAGAAACAAGTCGTGCAAGTTGCAACCCAAGGGGTTGTTTACTCCCCTACAAATCGATATGGAGCCAAACAAGCCCCACAAAGGAGATTCCCCCCCCCAACAAAAAACAACAGACTCGTTTTTTTTTGCGGGTCCCATGCTCATCAGGGGCTTGCCCTTGGTGGCCCGGCAGTGGCTCTGACCCGAGAAGCCCCCGCACAGCGCCTTGCGTCTTCTCCATGACTTTGTCAAGCCGGCTGGTCGACCCTCAGGCAAGGCTTCCCGGCGGGAAAATTCACCCAAGCGGCTGGCCACCAGGCAAGTGAATACTCCCCTGCAAATGAACATGGAACCCAAAAAGCCGGCGGGGGGGGGGGTCCCCCAAAAGGAGTTGTACCCATAAAGGATGGCTTTGTGGTTCCATGGGAAAACAATGGGGAGCAACAACTTGGGTGACCTTCACCAACGGGACACGCCGCAATTTCGGGGAACCCAAGAAGCAACCCCAAGGCCTGTCTTCAGCCAATGTCCCCAGCTCTTGCCTGCGCCCGTACGCGCACTTTTCTCTCTCTCTCTCTCTCTCTCTCTCTCTCCAAGCGCTCAAGACTCCAGCGATCCTTGTGTGGTCGTATTTGCGTCTAATTTTTAGAGGACCCCCACAACGGTTCTTGGTTTCCCTGTTGGCTTCCCCACAACACAGACCAACCAAGGGGTACCAACTCCAAATGACCCGCCCGAGGCCCGCCTTGGCGAGTGTCCTGTGCGCAAAGTGTCTCCGGATCCCACAGACATCAACAAGGAAAATCACATCAACCTCATGGCTATCTGGGTTGGCCACGGACCTTGGCAACAAAAATGTGAGATATATCTGAGGGTGGGGGGTGCAAACCCTTGGTTCAGCAATCTGCAGTCTTCCTCGACCTGTCGCACGACCTGTTCTTGCCATGCCGCTTCAGTGGGAAGTTGCGTGGCTGATGGACCATGGCATGTGAGATTCCCAGGATCCTTCGCGCTGGAGGAACGCGTTGTCCTTGCAGCTGCAGGTGTCTCAAGGCTTGTCTCAACACCGATGTCTCATTTTGTTTGGCTTACTGCCCAGCTACAGCGACCTCCCCAGTGCAACTTGCACTGAGAACGTGGCATTCCAATCTGAGGCAAGACGTTCGCCTCGGCGAGTTCTCGTCGGAAGGCGTAAACAAAATGCGACTCGGTTCATGCTTCAAGTTCTGGCCCAGAACCAAATCAAGTTAAACAAATATCGGTGTGTCTGCGTCATTGTTTAGGGGAACCCACCACATGGGTTGTTTTCGGTTTTCCCGTAAAACACCAACAGAAAGGGTACCCTCGAGCAAAAAACACACACACGCGGACACACAGACACACAGACACACAGACAGGCAGACACGCAGAGACGCAGAGACGCAGAGACGCAGAGACGCGGAGACGCAGAGACGCCATAGACACACAGACACATAGACACACAGACACACAGACACACAGACACATAGACACTCACAGACACATAGACACACAGACACATAGACACACACACACATGATTGCAACATTCTAATACCCGAGACTATGGTAGGGCATAGCCACGTAAAGGGACGTCTAAGGCTCGCGCCTGGGTCAGGGCTCGATACTTTGCTTCTCCTGCCAGGGCCATTTTTTCGGGCGAACGGCCTGCGACCGAAAACGTCTCACCCGAGAAGGGGTTGGGGTTGACGATGTTCAAGTCGCCGAACCGGGACAGCGGGGAGCGCCTCGGCTCGCTCGATTCGGCGCTTCGGCGCTTCGGCGCTTCGGCTTTGGCTCCCTTCAGGCTTGGTGCTTTTCGAGGCCGACAGCCCCAACATGCCCCAACCCCCTTAGGGGCCAAAGCCGGGAGACTCCAGCCCCTCACAACTTTGAGGCCAAAGCTCCGGGTGCTCCTCGAAGAAGTCCAGGCGCGAAGCCTCGACTCGCAAAACAGCCGCGCGACGCGCGCCACGCGCGAGACGCGCTTGAGGAAGCCGCAGAAGGTGTCTTGGCCGCCTGAGAGTTGTGTCACATCCATCCGGCTTCGCGAAGGAACATCTCGGGCCTTCTCCATGGAGTTGGTCGCATCTTGCCTGGTCTCACCCATTCAACTAGCCCATGTTGCCGCGCATGGCTCAGGCCATGGCTTGGAAGCCCAAGAGTAGCCCTTCTTTTCCTGCTTGGCGTTGGGTGACAGGAGGTCCACCTCACCAGCGAAGGTCAGCGAGTCCGCTGACGTCCAGCGAGTCCGCTGAGAGGCCCTGCAGTGCCACACTCGCCGATCGGAATGTCGTAGAAGGCCTCAGCTTCTTCCCAATGGAACTCTTGGCCCGAGCCCTGGGACAACGGACATGTTTCAAGAACATGCCTGAGCCAAGCAAAGCGGCCAAGCAACCACGCAACTACACATGATGCAGCAAACACGAGGTTTGAGCTTTCTTCTTCTACAATCTGAGGCTCTGGCTGCGCGCCTGCTTCTTTGCCACGCAACAGGTACTCGCACGTCGAACTGCGCCAGGGCTTAAAATTCTAGGGCTACCTTCCCCATTCTTTCCAGGGATCCTTCTTTTCAGGAAACCATCAGAGACCCAGGGAAACCGCTGGTTCTTGAAAAAAACATTGAAAAGAACCCCTAGAACAATTCTCGCACGAGGACTGGCGCTTCTTGGTGCGGGCGCCACGCAAGCATTGGCCGATGTCACACTCGCAGCACGCTTTATGCCACACAGATATTCACGCCAAGTGCAGGCGTGCATCCTGGACGGAAAGCAGAAGCGCTCTCAAGCTCCGCTCGTGCTCACGAGAAACACCAAGCTAATGTTGCCATGTCGGGGCATCCAACCAATCCGAGTAGAAAAGACTCACATTCAAACAGGTGGTCAACACTCCCTTTGTGGTGCATATCTCAAATCAACAAGCGTTTATGGCCGTGCGTGTAGACAATTATTATGTATGTTGGTATGTTGTTCTCGTCACTGGCGGCATCACGGATGCGGGGATGCGGTTGGGCACAGTTTCAATTGCCAAGCAACATGCAGCCGGCAATCTGGATAAGTACCCGTTTGACACAAGTAGATTTCGAACAGGCTTCAGCATTCCCACCTCATCTTCACTTGAAGGGATGAGAAGATTGTGACATGGGCGTCGCGTTTTTTGACGCCGGCCTTTTTTGGGGGGATGGTTTTACAATGTTTTGAAGGGAAACCAGAAGTACACCACTCATTTTTAAGAATTCCCCCCCATTTTGTGCCAAACCCATGCGTTTGGAGGATATCCGTGAACGGCTACGGCTCAGATTCTGTTTCCGGAGGCTCGAAGCCCGGAAGAGTGTCGAGAACATCTTGTGCCTCACTCCAAACACGCGGCGCGTTTTTCATGCGTGTTTTTTCATGCAACTCCGAACAGTCAATTGAGTCACAATCAAAACCCGGTATTAAAATGGTCGACCCAGAACAATGCTTCAAGAATTAAGAAGGCGGATATTCGCAGCTACTTCTGGCTGGGATTGACAATCCCTGACTAACCTTCATCTACCCGGGTTTTGAGCAAGTGGCTCAATTGTACTGGTTGAAGGACACCAACGAATAACTACTGGAGCCCACGTGAGAGGCGAAATTCATGGCAACATGTCTGCACGAGCTAAGAGCTCGGCTGCCGCTGGGGGCGGTGGCGGGTTGAGAAACCACTCACCTTGGTTCCAGAGGTATCTAAACTGCTGTCACTGAAACTGACAATCGCTTCAGCATGTGGCCATGGGTCAAAACCCAAATCGTACCGCCAGTGAACATCCCAATCCCCCCTAAAATAGGTTCTAAAATGGGTGGTGCACCTACCCCAAAATGGTACCATTGGTTTTGACCCACAGCAATGTGAGCATGATTGAACATGCGCACATCTTGCAAGGCCTCGTACTCACTCCAAGAGGAGACGCTTTTGCTGACCAAGCTAAATTGAATCGACAGCCTCGAACGGAGAATCAACCAATGCTCGGTTAGGCCAGCCTAGCACATCAATTGACATGCCGGGCGAATCCTGCGGAATTTACGCAAGAATGCAGCCGCAACCGCAACGGTAGTTCGCACCAGTCAGGTCGAGCGCGCTAAAGGCGCTGGCTCGCTCAAAAAGGTCAAACGGAAATGGCCGGCTGATCAAGATCCACACCTCGGATAGAGGGATAGAGGTCATGCTGAATCATCCGAGATATCACACCCCGGCCTCTTTGTTGTGGACCTCAGGGCAAGCTCAGGTAGTGATCCGCTTGGAACATGGCGTCTGAGCATCTTGCACTGAGCTTCGGTGAGATTCAAGGAACCTGCCCATCGTGACGACTCTCAGTGGTACTTGGGTGTCTCTTTTTTTGGTGTGTCCCCTTTGATTTTGCGAAACCCGACGGAGCCCTTTTGAGGTCGCCGAATGTTCAACCAAACCCACTGGAATCCTTTGAGAAGCTCGCCACCATGCCTGCGACAAATGACAGCCAGCGGGAGAGGTACGGAAGCGTTGGTTCCAAACCTGACAAACGGCCCGCTCACGCGGCACGTGGCGAGCATCACCAGTGCAGGTCTGAAATGGACATGGTCCAACTTGTGCACCAATCTTTCTTGCCATTTGGCTGTGGCTCAAAAAACCGGTACCAAAATGGAACCCTGGACCAAAACCTGCGTAACCCCTCCTGTTTAATTTTGAGCCACACCCATTTCATGCTCTCGTTTCATTTTTATCTTGCCGGGCGTGTTCAGCTCCAACACCGCTGATTTCACTGCCGCGAGGGAACCAGCCTGATTTCACTGCCGCTGATTTTGACAGTTTATTGTGTTACGATACCACCGTGTCACTGTGAATTGAAGGGACTCACCTTGGGGTTTCAAGGGTTTGTTCACTCAAGCACGCAATGGGCTTGTACACTCGTCAATCCTCGGGGCTGATTGGGCACGCCCGGTTTCGAAGTGCCTCCTTTCTTTCCCCGGAAGCGTCGCGCGCGAGTCAAAGCCGTCCTTCACCGCGCATCTCCACAAAGCTTGGCTGCACATCTCACGTTGACAGCACGGCTCTCTGTGCAGCTCCGCGTTTTCTTGGCGGAGGGATCGTCCGGCGCCGGTGGGATGAACCCTCTGGTTCTGGTGCACTTTGAGTGCGAAGGTAGAACTCAAAGTACTTTCTGGCATCTTCGGCGCGCCTGCCAGCTGCCTACAGCCGGGCTGCGGAGGTCTCCTTGTGAAACTGCGCGCCTGCTCTTGGGATCGGGCGGCCGCAGCTCGATGCCCCGAGTTGCACGATGTGTGCATGATGCGGACTGGCTCGCCCCTTTCGATGTTTGCGACTTGCCCTTTGACGCTTTTGACCCGCGACACCTCGGCTTCACAGCTGTTGTCGCCGCCAACAGCGAGCTTTTGCCTGGACCTTTCAATCTCGGTTGCGTTACTGCTTGACGACCCGACCGGGGCAAACATGCGCTGCGCGTCTGAGAACGGCGGACCTGAGCTGCGGTGCTCTCTCCCCCAACCCCGAGCTGTGCTGATGCGTGCAAATGTGTGCTGCGTCACATTACAAATGCGCGGTTTTCGACGCGTAAGGCAATGTCAGAAAAGCGTTGCATGCGTGGACCACAAGGTACGTGCCGTCAGCATCCGTCAGCGTTTCAGTGGAAAAACAAGCAAGTTGGGCGCGCGTGAACAGGATGAGCGAGCCGAAAACAAAGCACAAAAAAAGCACAAACAAAGCACAAAAGCAAGCAAAACAACAAACACACAATCAGCAAAAAACGATACACAAAATGCGCAGAAACACGGAGGCAACCATTGCGGTCTCTGTTGTTGGTTTTTGTGGTTACTCTAGACTAAAGTAGTATCGCCTTGCAATAATGAACACCAAACAAATCACGCAGAATGCTGCATTTGTCCCTCTACTCGCTGCGGAGGCGGGCGCTGGGGTGGGTGTGGGGGGGGAGGGGGCGCGCGGGGGTGGACGGTGCGCGCGGGAGGAAAGCGTAAAAACCGCAAGCAACATCGGACTATGAGTCACAAAACCCACCAGCACCAAAAAAACACAAATCAACAACAAAAGCATGCAACACACAAACAATCACCACAATGAAACAACAGCACTGCGTGAGCCTGAGCTATTCGTTGGATCACTAAAACTGTAGGAGCGATGGGAGGCGGCCGGCAACGCAGAATCTGTGCTCGTGAATAGCCACAGTAAACGGCTACCTTTTGACAACTCGCAGGGGAGAAACCCCAAAGACTGAGTCATCAAAACCCGGTACGAAATTGGTCGACCTAGAATGCAAAGAATTAAGATGGTCGACATTGGCCCTTTCTAACCTTCTCCAACCTTCCGGGATCTTTTCGCATCTGCCAAAGCCGTCGGAACTCGACTCGAAACGTTCTCCGCCTTGCGCCATGGGCACGTGACCGCCATCAGGGATCATCACCAGCAGGCTCGGAACCCCCACCGCCTTTGGGACTGCAAGCTGAGCGCTTCGAATGTCGTCTCAAACCGGCGACCATTCGACCCGCGCGAATGCGAATTCGCCCGCGCCTGCGCCCGCTTCATGCTGGCAATGGCGTTGGTGATTGGGATCACCGTGTCCTCAGCTCTGCTTTTCGTGTCCGGCTTTGCAAATGGGTGTTTTTGTTGGGGCATAATCACCCAAAATGTGAGCTGTCCGATTGGCTTTCCTGTAAACAAATGAAACCAACCTTTGAAAGGGTCCCCTCAAAAAAGACACACTCAAATCTGAGTCTGCTCGCGCGAGAAAACCCTCCCGCGCCTGGCCACCATGCCAAAGTAACATGGGAACATCTCCCTTGGAGATCTGGCGCGTGGCACTTCCAACCCAAACCCGAGAAGCCCGCCAACCCCCTCCCCCTGAAAAGGACAAAACAATATCTTTTATACTGATGACTAAGCCATCATTCACAATGATAATCTGCTTAAGCCAGATTTTTTCATTGTCAGTACATCTTCTATTCATGATGATACCCATTTAAGCTGAATACGTGCCCATGATTAAGCATTCCATTGAGTCCGCCATAGATGTAGCACGTGGGCTCGTTGTGTGTGTGGTGTGTGCGCAGAAGTAGGCACTGGCGATGGTGCTGTTCCTTTCTTCTCATCTCAGATTCAAATGCAACTCAACTCGCGTTAGGCCCTGCTGGTGATGCTGGTGATGCTGGGGATGTTGCTGCTGCATTCCGAACTTCACTGCACCTAGTAAGCGTTGACGACTGTGAATTTTGGGGGAACCTCGAGCTCGATTCCCCCGAAAACAAGCCCGAAATACCTAATTATTGTGTAGCCATAGGCTGGCTTGTGCGGGCGCGCGCGTACCCAGGGAATGCGTGGAGGCTGCTGTGTAGATGACGCTCCGTTAGTCGGATCTGCAAATTTGCCCCGCGAAACGGTTGTTCACAGGGGTCGAAGCCAGCCCCTTGGCCAACAGCCGCGGTACACGGACAACCAGCCTTTCTAATTCTGGATCAACCAAAAGAACCAATCCTCCAAATATATGGTCCTGTTCATGACGACGTACGGGCGGCAGCCCCGAAATACTGACCGATGGCGCTGAACTATGGTCGTGTGGCCATGGGTCAAAATCCGAATTGTACCCCCAGTGAACATCCCAATCCCCACTAAAATAGGTTCTAAAACGGGGTGGTGAATTCACCTACCCCATTTTCTGGGGATCCCAACACGGTTTTGAACACCACAGTTGCCATTTTGGTTCTTAAGGCCCAACCCATGGCGCCCTCTGCGCCCGTCTCGGCTCGGCATTTTTCGGCCTCCGAAGTCAGATCCGGCGCCGGGGGGGCGGTGATCTTGCACCCCAGCGCCTGCAGGTCCTGCGTGACGGAGTCGCAGTACCTGGGACCGGGAGACACCCACCGTAGGTCGTCAAAGGAGCCCCGAAAGTGGCGGCGTTCCTTCCCTTTTTGGGGGTTTGCCTTTAAAGCAAGAAGGAAGCCTCGCAGAAACGCGGGGAAAGCACGGGTTGTGGTTTCTGATGGCAACTCTGAAGGCAGCCACAGGCCGTACTCCCCTCCCGTTTGTCCCCGCAATTTGGAGGGGTCGGGTCCTAACAGGGATCCTTACATTATACACCTGAACATTGCCTTGTAAATGGTGGCTTCCCTTTATTTTGGTGGAAAAAGCCATGTTTCAACTGGGCAAAATGTATCTTTTCAGGAGCCCGGCCTAACTTTGTCCAATTTGCCCGGGGCCCGCACGCTTCAGCACGCAAAGTTCCGCTGATGGCGAGAACAGCGTGGATGGTCGAGGAGAAGCCCGGATTGCCGCTGGAGCCTTCTGGAGCCTTCTCAACGTACCTGACAGCGAGAGCTACAAAACCAATTTCGAGGAACCACATGAACGTGAATTTTGATAAGGGGGCCCTTTGGTGGACATCATTTAGGTGGGGATTCACAACCACTTTTGAGGTGGTTCCCTACAAAAAAAATCGGCGCACCCATAGTAGAGGGCGGCCACTGCTCCAGCGGAGTCACCTGCAAGCATGCATGGTGGTTCCCTTGCAAAGAAGCCTTCTTATGCTTGTCTATCCACCCAGAAAAGAAACTTAGCACTCGTGCTGACTGACAAAAACAACAAGGCCCGATGCCGGCATTCGGGCCTCCAACCAAGATGCGGTTAACATCGATGCGCCACGCCTGCAACGTCTGTGGCGTTGGATG